GTCCCTGTTGGTTCCCCTGGACCTCTCGGCGGCTTTCGATACCATCGACCATGGTATCCTTCTGGATAGGCTTGCGGGATTGGGGGTCGGAGGCACTGCTTTGCAGTGGTTCCACTCCTATCTCAATGGCCGATTCCAGAAGGTGGTGCTGGGGGACTATGGCTCTGCACCATGGCAGCTATGCCATGGAGTACCGCAGGGATCCATTTTGTCCCCTTTGCTGTTTAACGTCTACATGAAACCGCTGGGAGAGGTCATCAGGAGGTGTGGGCTGCGGAACCATCAGTACGCTGATGATACCCAGCTCTACCTCTCGTTTTCCACCAATCCAGGTGAGGCAGTGGCTGTACTGAACCGGTGCCTGGCCGAGGGAACGGGCTGGATGAGGGCCAATAAACTGAAGCTCAGTCCAGACAAGACGGAGGTCCTGTTGGTAGGTGGTTCAGGCTTCGGAGAAGGTGACCTGAACCTTGTCCTGAATGGGGCTGCACTCCCTCCTAGGGACAAGGTCCGCAGCTTGGGAGTGCTCCTCGACCCGGAGCTTTCACTCAAAGCTCAGGTAACAGCAGCAGCGAGGAGCGCTTTCCTCCAGCTTCGGCTGATTCATCATCTGCGCCCCTATCTGGAGTACAACTGCCTCGCAACAGTGACTCATGCACTGGTGACTTCCCGTCTTGACTTCTGTAACGCACTGTACGTGGGGCTACCCTTGAAGACAGTCCGGATACTTCAGTTGGTTCAAAATAGAGCTGCCAGGCTGCTGACGGGAACTGGACGTTATGTTCACATGACTCCAGTTCTCCGGCAGCTTCACTGGCTTCCCATTGAAGTCCGGGCCCAATTCAAGGTGTTAGTGATGACCTATAAAGCCCTAAATGGCTTGGGTCCTGGTTACCTGAAGGAGCGCTTACGTCCATATATGCCCAGCCGCCCCGAGATCAGCGGGAGAGGCCCTCCTCCGGGAGCCCTCAGTGAAGGAAATTAGGAGGGTGGGTACTCGGAGGAGGGCTTTCTCAGCGGTGGCGCCTAAGTTATGGAATGCGCTCCCCAGAGAGGTCCGCCTGGCGCCGTCGTTATTTGTTTTTCGGCGCCAGGCGAAGACCTTTTTATTTAGGCAGCATTTTAAATGTTAATATTATTGAATTTTATTTGGCCAGGGCGGCTTATTTTATTCTAATGTATGTATTTTAATTGTTATTGTTTAATTTATTGTGTATTTTTTCTATGTTGTGAGCCGCCCCGAGGCTTCGGCAAGGGGCAGCATAGAAATGTTTCAATAAATAAAATAAATAAATAAAATAGTCTCCAGGAAGCCTGGGAAGGAAGCCAAGAGTGGCTGGCCCTGCTCTGGAGCCTCACGGCAGCTCATCAGGTGGGACCAGGAAGGCACGCTCTGCCCTCAGACCACAGAAGCTGCTTCTACGCCCTGGCCTAGCGAGAACTAGCTTGCTGGCCTGCCAGGGCCCCTGCCCTCACCTTGTCATTGATCACGCGCTCAGTCAGCCCGGAAGCCATCATCTTCTGGAGGGTCTTTTCTTTGCTCTGAGCCTGGCGAGCCAACTTGGCGCTGCCATGTCCAAACCGTGCAATGTAGTTCTGTAAGAGCAGAAAGAGCCTCTAGGCATGACGGCCACCCCAGCAGAGCGCACGGACTGGGAAGGGCCAAAAGCCAACGGGCTACCTTCATGTGGGCAATCTGGTCCTGCTCCCAATGGAACCGCTTCATCTGGTTCTCCTCCAGCTCCAGGCGAGTTTTGACATATTGATCGTAGTTGCCCTGAGGAGGAGGAGCAGCTCCGGTTTGATCCCACAGGGTTCTTCCCCGGTCCCCCGTCCCCCAAGAGGCCCCACCCTGGTCCTGCAGGCCATGTGGGAAGAGAAGAGGACACAAGCACACAGAGCTCTCTGCCCAAGATCCAAGCCAGGAGCACTCCTGCCTTTGCTGGGCTCATGCTCCCTGCTCACCGTGTAATATTTGAGTTTGCGGTTGTGCATGTGGATGATGTTGGTGCACACACCATTCAGAAAGTCCTGGGAATGTGAGATCAACACAAGGATGCGCTTGAACCTGCAAAAAAGATAGTCCAGAGGTGGGGGGCCCTCATCTGTCAAGGGGGGCAGAGGAACCCCCAGGATGGCTCCCGCAGACTCACGTTTTCAGCTCTTCCTCCAGCCACACGCAGGCGTCCAGGTCCAAGTGGTTTGTGGGCTCATCCAGGAGCAGCATGAAGGGCCGGATGAACAGTGCCCTGCAGGAAGAGGGGCACGGGGAGGAGTGGGTGAGGAAGCCCCACGGGACGGTGAGGAAGCCCCATGGGACCCTGGCCTGCAATGAAGCCACCCGGCAAGCGCCCACCTGGCGAGCGCCACCCGCATCCGCCAGCCACCGCTGAAGTCCTTCAGCTTCTTCCTCTGCATGGCAGGGGTGAAGCCCAGGCCGTGAAGGATACGGGAGGCTCGCATCTCGGCCTTGTCAGCATCCAGCTCCTCCAGGCGCTCGTACAATTCCATCAGCTTCTCACATTCCGCTTTGGGAGATGGGAAGAGAAGAGCTGGTCAGTCGGCACCGGGGCCCTGCCTCGCCCCAGAGGCAGCCGCAGCCCGCTCTCACTGCGGGTTGCCCTGCCAGGAAGCCCACTGGCGCCGGGAGGGGAACCTTCCCCGAACAGCAAGCTCTGCCCCGGACACTCCCTGAAGCATTACCGTCCTCGTGCGCCAGGCGCTCTGCCTCGCGCTCCAGCATGGCTCTCTCCGTGTCCACCTCCATCACACACTGCAGGGGGGTCTTTTCGCTGGGCGGCATCTCCCGGGTCAGGTGGTAGATGTCAATGTGCTCCGGGATGGGCACCTCCCGCTTCCCAATGGCTGACAGCAGCATGGACTTCCCTGGGTGCGGCAGAAGAGCAGAAAAGAAAAGGTCCCTCTCGTCACCCAGGGAGGCTCCTGACGTGGCGCAGCGGGAGGGGGAGAGGTGCACCAGAGCACGGTGAGGTCCCCAGTAGCAACCAGCATTTCGGGCCTGGAGGCAACTGCTGGAGCTGCGAAGAGCAACGGGTGTTCACCAAGAGGCCCCACGAGGAAGCGGCTTTCTTGCCGAGCAGCCCTGAGCTACTCTCCCGGGAGCCCCCGCACAGATTTGGCATTGTCCAGGACGCACCACAGTGACAGGAACGTTGCAGAGAGTCAGCAGAGTGTCTCCCGCCTGCCAACGCCACGGGCAGGCTAGCACCGATCACCCTTAGTGGCAGCCGGGTGTCATTCCTGGCCTGCAAAACCACCGGGCTCCCACGCCCCGCTTAGAGCAACCTGGCGGGGACTCACGCGAGCCCAACCATCCCCCAAAGAGCCACAGCACCGCGACTCAAAGCGGCCCGCCACTGCGGCCCCTTCCCGCTGCACCGCCGTGCTGGCCACCCCGCTCACTCACCAGTGCCGTTCAGCCCAATGAGGCCGTAGCGCCGCCCGGAGTTGAGCTCCAGCTTGGTGTCGCTCAACAACTCCTGCCCGTGGAAGGTGAGCGAGAGGTTGATGATGTGGACATCGGTGCTGTTGGGGTGGGAGGCAAGGACCCCTGTCACAGCGCGGGCAGCGGCCTTTTTCAGCTCAAACTCCTCCATGGCCTTCGTAATGGCATCCACATCTGGGGGAGAGAAGGCCCGCCTAAGCAGCAGACGAGCAAGGGGCAGCCTAGTCGGCTGGCCACCCCCTCGCCTCCGCAGACCGTAGCTGCTCTTAAGGACCCTTAAGGGCTGCACCCCATTAGTAACCAGGGGGCTGGCAGAACAGGCAGGGCTGCGGCGGCGGCGGCATGGACGCCCCCGGAGCAGCTCGGGGCGCAGGCCAGAGGGGAGGCGCAGCACGGAGGTGAAGCGACCCTGCCCCGGGCCCAGGCACACTCCAAGGCCCCTGCACGGCTCTCCCGGGCACAGCAGGCACCCGGCAGCCCCGCCACCCAGAGCAGGCGGGGCGGAGCGGAGATCCGCGGGGAGCCGCGAGGCGGAAGCGCCTTTCCTGGAGCGCGTGTGGAGGCCGCCCCTCCGGGCAGCCGCGGGGATCGGCCACCCGCCCCCTGCGCGCATCGCCTTCCCCCGCGGCTCCGGGGCGGCCCGGGCCCGGGCGGAGAGGCTCTGCCCTCTTGGAGCCCGGCGGCCGGCGGCAGCCAGGCGCAGCCCGGGCGACGAGCAGTGAGGGCAGGCCGGCCGGCCGGCCGGCCTGCCGCCCAGAGGGGCGCCGCGCGGGCCCGGCCGCCTGCCCACCTGTCTCCGCGGTGCCGTTGGCCTCCTCCCGGCCCCTGAGCTCCTCGGCGTCGTCCTGCTCCACACCGCCGGCATCGCCGTTCTCCTCGGGGGTCTTCTTGGGCCGCTGGCGAGCCTTGGCCGCCTCCTTCCTCTTGGCCGCCTTCTTCTTGGCCAGGTCCGACGGCATCGTCCCGCTGGTTCGCCTGGCGCCGCGGGGAGAGAGCGGCGCTCAGCGGCGGCCGCGGGGCCCGGGAGGGCGAGGGGGCCGCCCTCGCCGCGCCCTCCGCCCCGGCCAGGCCTCTGTCCGGGCACGTGGGGCAGGCGGGCGGCCGGCGCCAGCCGGGGGGGGAGGGAGGGAAGGGGGAGAGCCGGCCGGCCGGCCGAGGGCCCCTCCCGCGCGGGTCGGGGGCGCCCGGCGCCGGCGGGGAGCGGGACAGGGAGCACGCGCGGCGACCGGCCCGCTCACCTCCTCGACGGCCGTCCGGCTGCGCTCCGCCTCGGCCAGCCTCGGCTGCTGCTCCGGCTCGGGCGCACTTTCCCTTCTGTCGCAACAGAACAGCTGCTGCCGCGTGCGGAAGCCCCGCCCCCTCCGACCCCGCTTCCAACGGGAGAGCGCGACGTCAGCGCACGCCGGGTCCCGAGCGCCGACGGGAAGCCGAGTCTCCTAGGCGCCGGGCGCAAGAGGGGGCAGGCGCACCGAGCACCCTGCGGGGTTCTGGGAAATGGAGTCCGCTCGGCGACGTCGCGAGTCCGAGACGGGAACGCAGGAGCGGAACCGCCGATTCCAGGCTTAGCCCCGGCTGGGCCCGGCGGCGGCGAGCGAGCCTGCGGCAGTTGGGCGGCTGGGCCTCGGTTCTGGGCAGCGTGCGGGCTTGGGCCGGCCCGCCCGTGGGTGCCCGCGTTGCGGGAGGGCCGAATTCTCACGTGCCGGTCCCGCCGGCGAAAGAGGCGCCGCTCACGGCCGGGGAGCGGCGGAGCGTGCGGTGCACGCGACCACGCGGAGGAAAGGGCGGCGGCGACGCGGAAGGTAGCGCGACGCGGGCGGCGCGGCCCCGGGGTGGGCGTTGCGGAGCCTCGGCGGTCCGCGCCCCCGGCCCCCTGCTGAACAACGCCGCGGAGCCTCCGCCGGGCTCGCGGGGAGACCCGTAGGGCGCGGCCCTCCGGCCTGGCCCGCCGCGGTCCGTTGGGCGCGCTAGGGACCGCGCGGCTGTGCGGAGTTCCTCCGCCCGCGCCTCCGCACCCCCGTCCGCTGCGCACGGCCTGCCCAGCAGCCGGTTTTCCGGCCTGCGCCGCCCGGCGGGACTCGAGCGTGCAGCGATCCCGCCTCGCCATCCATGCCGGCGGCACCCGCGAGGAGGCGACTCCGGGGACGGGGAGGACGGCTGCCCCCCTCTTGCTCCCGCGGGTGGGAACCCTCGCTCTGCCTGGCGGAGCGCCCGAGCCGAGAGGACGGGGCGAGGTGCCTTCCGGGGCGCCTCGCGGTGCAGGCAGGCGGGGGGCCCTCTGCGGGCGCCAGCGCTGCCCTCGTGCCCCTGCGTGTGAACGCGTCCCCAGCCTGCCCTGCTTTGACGGGTGCTGGCGCAGCTCTCCCGAGCCAGGCTGCCGAAGTAGGAGCTCCCTTCTGCGGGTAGAGCGGCTCGTCTGCTGCCCTGCCGTGTGTTGGGGGGCCCCTGCAGCGAGCCTGCCCCTTCTTGGGCAAGCTCATTTCTCTCTCTCCCCCCCCCTCCACAGGGCCTGAGGGAGGTGCCCGGCTGCATCCCGAAGGCACACTTCTCCCGGTGAATTGACCAGTGCCTGTTGCCACTCGCCCCCCTCCATGATCCCGGCTCCGTGGATGCCCCAAGGCCCCCCGCTGCTCCCTGCAAGCTGAGTGGCTTCAGGCCATGCGTGTGGTCAGTGTCCTGGCCTTCCTGCGGCCTGCCCTGCCTCTGCTCCTTGGCCTGTCCTTGGGTTGCAGCCTGAGTCTCCTGCGCGTCTCCTGGATCCAAGGCGATGGGAGTGACTCCTGCGTGGACCCTGCTGCCCTGGGACATGGCAGGCAGCCTGCAGGAGGGAGGCAGCAGGGAGAGTCTCTGGGTGCTGGTGGCGGACCAGGCCAGGGAGCCAAGGGCGAGGATTTCAAGCCACGGATTGTGCCCTATTACCGTGACCCCAACAAGCCCTATAAGAAGGTACTCAGGTAAGAGTCCAGCCTCTTAAGGGCAAGGGGGGCCATGGCTCTCCCTGCCGCTTGCATGGCTGCTGGGGGCGGGGGCGGTGCTGGTGCCATGAAGGCTCTGGAGCCATCTGACGCTCTCAGGCTACAGCTGTCTGGGAAGAACAATGTTTCTGCTGTCTGTTTATCTCCTTAAGGCCCTTTGAGGTTGTCTGAAGGGTTTTGGCCAGAGTGCTGGAGCGCCTCTGCTGGCTTGCTGCTGTTCTCACTCCCAAGCTGCTGAGTGGAGAGAGGGTGAGCTGGCAAGTGGGCAGTGCATGGCCTGCGGCCAGCCAGTGGTTCTGTGGCTGGACAAAATGCTTGAAGCAGGAATGGCTTTGCTCATAGTTCGCCCTCCCCCTTTCCTCCGATGAGCTCACCTGTGCAGGCCATAGAAGGACAGCGTGATGCCAGGAAGCACTTCCTGACGGTTAGGACCCCAGGGAATGGAATGGGCTTCCCGGGAGGTGGCTCACGGCGCTCCAGCTGGAAAGGCGAGTGCTGCAAGATGGAATCGCCTTGTTGTTCTCTGTGGAGAGAGAGGCTTGGAGAAAAGAGGGTTCTGAGGAAAATGCCTAGGGGTGCGTGATGACTAGGGAGAGGAGCAGTTTTGGGGACCTGCCCCTTCGACGCCCCCAGGTTGGCTAGCTTAGTCCACGGTTGAGGGGCAGTCTGGCTTCAGACCCAAAGTGGTCTCTTGCCTGGCTTTTTGTGCCCCCAGCCAACTTGGTGCCGTGGCCCTCCGGCGGTTCCCACTTCTGTTCCAGAGCCAGACGATGGAACCGGGTCACAGAGCAGCAGTGCTGCCAGCCAGAGGCAGCCAGCTCTTGCAGTCATGGCTTGTTGGGGTGTATCCGATGGGAACCCTCCCTTCCAGGGGAGCCTTCCAGTGGATGCCATTGGAGGGGCTTGAGCTGCCTTGTGTGGCCAGGACTGGCCAGCGTGCGTGGCCAGGCCTATCCATTCTGAAAAAAGCTGAGCACTGCTGACTGCTGTCACTAGAGTCATTCTCCGGCACGCTTGACTGGCAGCATGTCCTAATTTAGGTGGACGCTGTACAGCAGAGGGCATGCTGGCTGCTGGGGCAGCGGGACAGGTTGAAACCTGGGCTTCAAACTGGGCAGAAGAGAATTGGCTTCTGTCGCAGTGGAATGCGAATGTACAAGTTGACTGGCTGAGCAAGAGAGCAGCAGAAGCAAAACCAGAGGGCGCTGGCTGCGTTCTTCCAGATGGCTTCCACAAGGACCTGGCCCCACAATTCCCAAGCAGCAGGTGGAACTCAGGCCAGAGGGCTTGGGAGCTTCCCTAGGCTCCTGACTGGATGGCCCGGCAGCTGCCCAGGCAAGAGTGGTCCCAGCCTGACCTGCAGACGCTGGGATCCAGCCCGAGATCTTCTGTGTGTGAAGTAGAGGCCCTGCCACAGAGCCAGGGCCCTCTCGTTGGATGGCCTCTTGGTGTCTGCATGAGGGAGAAGGAGAAGAAATGTGGGGACTGGCGGTCCACAGCAAGGCCTTCGTGGGTTGGAACACACTGCCAGCCCCACACTGGCTTGCGTTTACCTGGTGATGGGGAGTACTTAACTGTTTCTCGCCTGCCATTTTTCTCCCGTAGTCCCCCCAGGCTGCTTTTCTCTTCTAACACATTGCAGGTTTGCTTCTGGTCTTGGAGCCGTAGATCCATAGAATAGTAGGGTCAGAAGGAGTCAAGAAGGCCATCAGGTCCACCCCCCTGCTGGTGCAAGGCACCAAGTCACACCTCGGTTGACTGTCTGTACACCCAGCCAGTCTGCCTGCACTGTATAATTGACGTTTTGCTGTTTCACCACCTGACTATGAGTTAGGTGTCTTGAATTATGTTTGAGGGAACATTAAATTGTGCAGCCGCTTGCAGCTGCTTATTACTGGTGCGCTCTTTTATGTGTAATAAAAATATTAAAACAATGCGTCATGTTGTTTCTAAATGTGAAATTCTGCTCAAATTTCTCGGCAGGTTCAGGTTGTCTGCCGGAGACTCTAAAATGTAAGCGGCAGACTTGGCCGCCTTCCTTGGGCTATCCTTGCCTTCAGGCCGTCTTCACCAAAAGGCTCTTTTCTGAGCCAGGTGATTTAAGCGTGTGCCTTAAGACTTGTGGGCGTCTCCTGCAGCTGCCCCAGTGCCAGGCGTCTCTCCCACAGTGCACTGCTCATCTTTCTGTTCATGGCTTACTAGTTCCTTTCCTGGGTTTTACCCTGCATGCTTTTCTGTTTGAGTCCTTTCATACCGTGTCTGTCAGAGTTTTGTGGAAAGGCACAGTCCTGGTACTTTTCCTGTAGGGAGGGATGCTGCCGGTACGTGGAGACCTCAGCATCTTTTTGCCAAACGCTCTGGTACCAACACCTGATCACGGTTCCATGCCTTGGGTCTCAGGAAAAGCTACCGTCGCTACCCAAAATCTTCCCCCTGCCAAGGAAAGAGGTGGCACACGTGGGGTGTTCTTAGGGCTATGTGAGTCTCCATGGGGTGCACACACAACTCCAGGTTTTGGAGGCTTTGCTAATTCCCTTAAGATGGGGGCGGGGGTGCAAGGTCTTCTGTCCGTAGGTGTGTTGTGAGTGTGTTGAACATGGCCCGGGCGCGAGCCTTCCCCGGGCGCTCCGGTACCGTCAGCCTGGTGCTCAGCAACCCCTGCAGTTCCTGCTGCTCCTGGGCCGGCCGCACAGGCGTAGCCCTGAAAGCTCCCCGCAGCAAACCTGAGAGGTCTGTTTTTGGGAAGGGCTGTTTGGCCAGAGGGCCGTGCAGCAAGTGTCCGGCACTGAATCTGACCCAGCCATGCAGGGACATGTCTGCTCTCGCCTCTTCCTTGCCCGCCGCTCTCCATTGCCAGTCGAGAGTGGAGAACGGACTAGGCTTGCTGGGAAGCCGGGTCTGATGCACGAGGTGTCAAGCAGCCAGGCCTGCATTGCTGTGCATTTGCCACGGGGGTTTTAGAGGTGTTGCCGTGGCGTCCCGAAACGCACTTGCCTTGCTGGCATGTTACGTGTCTCGGTCATTCCGGCGTCGTGCCGCAGTTTCTGAAGTGAGGCCGGTGCTGGTGCGGAGGGCAAGGGAGGCAAGCGCAGCTGACCATTTGCCAGAGGAGCCGGCCTCAGTGGCTTGTGGGGAGAGGGCCCAGGGGCGGCCTCTGGCCAGCTGGAGCGGCTGCTCACCGTCCCTGCCGTGGCTCGCCTCGTTAACAGCGAGCCTCCCGGACCATCCCGAAGCAGAGGCGTTCTGGCCTCTGCTGGGCTCGAGGTCCTCGGGGGCCTGTGCCGGCTGCAGCTGGGCTGGGGCCCCTCTCCCCGCAGGAGGCCCCGGGGCCCCAGAGCTGGGCTGCTGGCTTTGGGAGCACCCAGGAGGTGACCCGCACTCATGGCTCGTTCCCTTCCCCACCCCAGGACTCGCTACATCCAGACAGAGCTGGGCTTCCACGAGCGGCTCTTCGTGGCTGTGCTGACCTCCAAGGCCACCCTGAACACGCTGGCCATGGCTGTCAACAAGACGGTGGCACATCACTTCTCGCACCTGCTGTACTTCACCGGGCTGCGCAGTGCCAAGGTGCCGCACGGCATGGCCCTGGTGTCCCATGGGGACGAGCGGCCCGTGTGGCTGATGTATGAGACCGTGCGCTACATCCACCAGCACTTTGTGGGAGACTTCGACTGGTTCTTCATCATGCAGGATGACACCTACGCCCAGGCGGAGCAGATCAAGGCCCTCACGGCACACCTGAGCATCAACCAGGAGGTCTACCTGGGCCGGGCAGAGGAGTTCATTGGCGGGGATGAGCAGGCCCACTATTGCCACGGGGGCTTTGGCTACCTGCTCTCCCGCAGCCTGCTGCTGAAGCTGCACCCCCACCTGGACAGCTGCCGGAACGAGATCCTCAGCGTGCGCCCGGACGAGTGGCTGGGGCGATGCATCGTGGACTTCCTGGGCATTAGTTGTGTCTCCAAACACCAGGTAGGGCACTGTCGCCCACACAAGGGCTGGAGGCCCATGGCAAGAGGGGACTGGGCACAAGGCGGGAGCGGGGGCAAAAGCCAGTCCAGCGTCTTGGGCAGAGCCTCAGAGCAGGCATGGGGCTGCCCGGGCAAGCAAGGCGCACGGGGCACATGGCTGCCCCTCAGAACTCGCAGGGATACTCGGCTCTGCTTTGGCTGGCCGGGATGGTGCGTCCTGTTTGCAGAAGGTTGGAGGGAGGCGGAGAGGGCTTCTGCATTCCCTGCAAGCCAACCACAATTCCCCCAGTGCCGGCTCCCAAGGCCCTTGAATCCCCCCCCCCCCGCCCCCGGTTTCATAAAGGCATGCGGTATCCACCCCGCATCCTCTTTGACTGGGCTTTGTGGCTCAGGCTGTCACAGTCTGCATGGAACCAATCAGAAGGAAGCTGGGGAAATACTGTGGCTCGGCCCACTGCTGCTCTTCCTGCCGAGGCTGCTTTGGAGTGGGTAGGAGGGGAGGAACGCCTTCCCCACCTGGCAGCATGGGAGGACCTGGTGCGGGGGTGATCTTGGGGTGGTGCCCTTCTGGGTTTGGTGGGCTTGCTGGAGCCTTCCGTCGGGAATCAGGCACCCCCTTGTGGCCATCCTGGCACCCTCACACTGGTGAGGTGGCAGGTGCCGGCGTCCTGGAGCAGGGGGCCGGTTTCAGCGCCCGCCTTGCTGGCGTGCAGACTGTGAGGTAACCTTCAGCTGAGCCTGCTTTGCAGCTGCTTGTCACGGAGAGAGCGCCCCGCACATCCGCCGCCTTGTGGGCCTGGGAGTGTGGGATGAGAGTTGAGATGTGGTGGTGGCTCCAGCGGCAATGCCTGGGTCAGGTGCGGGTTGGCTGTGGGCAGCCCTGGCTGGGCATGCCCTGCAGCAGGCCATTGTGCTTGTGTCCCACTTGTGGGGTTCCCTGGGGGTGGCTGGGTGGCCGTCGTGGGGACAGGACACGTGACTGGAGGCATCCCTTCGGCCTGAGTCTGCACAGCTCTGCTGGTCCTTGCCAGTGACCCTTCTCTCTCTCCCCCCGGCCCATTCCAGGGACAGCATTACCGGTCCTATGAACTAGCTAAGAATGTGGACCCAGAGAAGGAAGAAGGAGAGGCCTTTTGGGGGGCGATCGCCATGCACCCCGTCTCTGAAGCGACCCTCATGTACCGCCTGCATAGGAAGTTCAGCAGGATCCAGCTGGAAAGGACCAACCAGGAGATTGTGCGGCTGCAGGTAGGAGATGCGAGAGGAGAGTCCTCTGCCCCTTGCCGGCCTGGAGGGAGCGGGGCTGGGTGGCGGGGCTGGACCTTGATCGGGGTGGCGCATTTCCTGGGCGAACGATTCACTGTGTGATGTAGCCGTTCCTTTTCGAAGCGCTTTCCAGGCCTGGAGGGCCTGCTGCCACCCCCCACCCCCACTTTCTGTTCTTGGGAAAGCTGTGCAGGACTAACTCTTGGCACCCCTCTCAAAAACACCAGACCGATCCTGTACAGCTTTTCTGGCCGGGCTGGCTGAGCCCTGACGAGTGTGTTGGCCGTTTTGGGTTGAGCTGGCGCTGCAGCTTGGCTTGGGCCCAGCTCTGTGGCCTGGGTCCAGTCCAGAAGGGGGGGGGGGCGAGCAGGGATGGATGGACAGGTGTTGTTTTCGATGGCAGACCCAGATCCGCAACCTGACAGCACTGACGCCAGAGGGGGAGAGCGGCCTGGCCTGGCCTGTGGGCATCAGCGCTCCTTTCCGGCCCAAGTCCCGCTTTGAGGTGATCAGCTGGGACTATTTCACGGAGCAGCACCTCTTCTCCTGCCCCAGTGGCGCCCCCAAATGTGACCTGACGGGAGCCAGCAAGGCCGACGTGGCCGACATCCTCCAGGCCGCCCTGGACCACCTCAACGAACGGTACCAGCCCCAGCTGCGCTTCCAGCAATGGCAGCTGCTCAATGGCTATCGGCGGTTCGACCCCACGCGGGGCATGGAGTACACGCTGGACTTGCTGCTGGAGGCCGTCACCCAGAAGGGGCACAGCCATGTGCTGGCCAAGCGGGTGAACCTCCTGCGCCCCCTCAGCAAGGTGGAGATCCTCCCCATGCCCTACGTGACGGAGGCCACGCGGGTGCAAGTGGTGCTGCCCATCACCGTGCAGGAGCTGGACTTCGTGGGCAGCTTCCTGGACACGTTTGCCACGAATGCTCTGGATGCACGTGAGAATGCTCGGCTCAGCCTGCTCTTCGTCTATGACCCCTACGACGCTCAGCGGGTCGCCCAGGTGGACGTCTTTGCTGGGGTGAAGGCCATGGTGGCTGAGCTGGAGAAGCGCTACACAGACGTCAAGATCCCGTGGATCAGTGTCAAGACAGAGGTGCCCTCCCAGGTCAAGCTCATGGACATCGTCTCCAAGAAGCACCCCGTGGACACGCTTTTTCTCCTGGCCAGCGTCTGGACTGAGGTCAGCGTGGAGGTGCTGAACCGATGCCGCATGAATGCCATCAGCAACTGGCAGGCCTTCTTCCCCGTCCACTTCCAGGAGTTCAACCCCGTGCTGGCCTACCATGGCGAGCAGGCGGCCACCTCCACCACCGGCGCAGACTTCCTGCGGGACGGACACTTTGACCGGCACGCCTTTGCCGAGGCCTGCTTCTACAACTCGGACTACATGGCCGCCCGCACCAAGCTGGCGGCCCGTGCCCTGGGCCGGGACGAGGGGCTGGAGGAGATGGAGGTCTTCGACGTCTTCCTGCGCCATTCGGAGCTGCACCTCTTCCGGGCAGTGGAGCCGGGGCTGGTGCAGAAGTATGTGCTGAGGAGCTGCAGCCCCCGGCTGAGCGAGGAGCTCTACCACCGCTGCGTCCTCAGCAACCTGCAGGGACTGGCGTCCCGCTCCCACCTGGCCGTGGCCCTCTTCGAGCAAGAGCAGGCCAACAGCACCTGAGCTGGGCGCGGGAGGTCGCACTGCGAGGCTTGGCGGGGGGTGCGGCGGGAGCGTCCCGGCAGGCGCAGCCCAGGTTCCCCGAGAGAAGCGATTAAAGTGTTCCTGCAGACGTGCGTGTCTGGTCTCTGCCAGGACTCCTTGGGTCCCCGCTCCTGCTGAGGGACAGGGCGGTGGGGTGCGGCAGGGAGGGCTTCAGCAGCACCGGTGGGCAAGCCAGCTGGCCGGTTTTGCTGTGAGGAATGGGCCCCTCTGCTCTGGGTGCCACCCTCGTCTCAGGTAGCCGGGGAGGCTCGTCTTCAGCCCCTGATCCAGCAGGCTGGGTGTGGAACAGGCCTTTCCTGTGCCGTGGTCCTGGCCCGTCCCCCTCGTCATTTCTGCAGTGCCACGCAGGCTCCCCGTGCTCTTGAGCCGAGCGGACAGACCTGGCAGGCGGCTGGCAGTGCCCCCAGCGACAGGAGCGGACGGCACTCCTCTGGCGCTGCTCATGGCCGGGCTGCTGGCTGGGCCTTGCCTCCAGCAGTGGGTACCCTTCTCCCAGGGCTGAGGGCCTGTGCTTCGGAAAGGGCTGCCGGGCGTGCCGTCCTCGTGGGCCACTGCCTCTGCAGCCACCTCCTTCCTTGGGACTGCCACGGGTGCTCTCACCCTTCAGTCCCAGGGTGGCTCCCGGGTGCGGGTGCGACAGCCACAGCAGCACCACATCTGCCTCTCGTGCCAAAGAGGCCTGGAGGCCTTGCGTGGGGAGGGGGCAAGGGACGGGCTGCCCCCCCCTTGAGGCAGCACGCCCTCTGCCTGCTGGGCCTGCCTTCGCGGGACCACAGCCTGCACCGAGCGCTCTCCGAATGGGGCTGGGCTGCTGTCCAGCGCGGATAGTCATACGGCCTGCATTCTGTCCACACGATCCCACAAGCCGAGATGCGGCCACGGCTCCCCGCCCGAGTTCCCCAGCAGAGGCAGCACGTGCCGTCGGAGCCTTGCTGCCCCCTTCCGCAGCAGTTTCTCGGGCTGCCGCAGGCGCGGGGGTGGGGCTGGGCGGCGGGGGCGCTCCGGGGCGAGAGCGTCTGTTCGGGCGATTCGCGCAGGCGCTGCGCGACCTTGAAGGGGGGGAGCCGCGGGCGGCCTGGCGGTGCCGGAGGCGCAGAGGCCGCCGCCAGACGCGGGACTCGCTCTTCCCCTGCGCTGACCGCCAGCGAGCCAAACCCTGCGGCCCGCCGGCCTCCCGCGCTCCGCCCAGCGCCTGCTCCGCGCCGCCCGGCAGGCGCCGGGTTTGGCTCGCTCTGCTTGCGGGGCGCGCTGGCGCCGCGCCAAGTCCCTGCGCCGGGCCCTCGCCGGGGCGCCCGAGCCGTCGCTGCGGCGTGGGCCGCCGCCTCCTGGACCGAGGTGTACCGCGGCAGCGGGGGGCCGTGGAGCGGGCTGTGCGGGGGGAGCCCCGGTCTGCCCGCCGCAGGGCTTGGCATGGCCGCGCCCCGCCAGTCCCGGGAGTGCCTCCCGCTTCCCGCGGCGACCCTCCGCCCGCTGCGTCTCGCGCCCGCGCTGGGAGCGGGATCAAAGCCCCCGGGCAGCCCGGAGCTCCCCGGCTCGCCTTTCCACCCCCGCTCGGAGAGGCGGCCGTGCGGGGCTCCTGGCCGGCCGGCCGGCTGGCTGTGATGCCTGAGGGAGACCCACCCGCCTGCCCGTCGGCTCCGGAGCGGCGGTTCCGCCCGACCGCCGGAGCTCGGCTGCCTCGCTGTTCTCTGAGGAGCCGCAGGCGGGCAGCAGGTCCGCCCGGCGGCCCCGCGCCGCGCCCCGGAACGGGGGGAGCCCTTGCGGCCCCGAACAAGGCAGGCTGGCCCGGGGCGGGGCGAGGCCGGGCGGGTTCTGTGCAAGGGCGGCTGCGCTCGGGCTGCGCTGCGCTGCCCCTGCCTCTGGGCGGGGGCAGCCAGGCGCAGCCACCCCCGTTCCCGTGCGCTGGGGGAGCGCTGCAGTGAGCCGCTCGCTCGCGCCCCCAGAGTCCCTGACGCAGCGGGGCCTCCCTGCGGCCGCTGCGCGCCTTTCTGTGCGCCAGCCGCGCTGCGCTGCGCCTCCCCGGCCGGCAGGGCTCTCCGCATCCTGACCGGGAGGCGGCCGCGCAGGTGCCTCATGCCACCCCCTTGGCGGGGAGGCTGCTGCAGCAGCAGGTCAGCCCGAGCTCGGCGGAGGCGCTGGCCGAACGTTTCTGCTGCCCGAGAAGTGGGGGCCGGAGTTCTCGGGCAATGCCACCAAGCTTGGGGCCTTCCTGACCCTCCTCTTCCCAAGCGATTTGTTGCTTGCCTGCTCTGTGAATTTGGACGCTGAGGGAGGGAGGCCGTTTGCCTGCGCCGCTGCACCGCCTCATCGTGGCGTTTCGGTCTGGCATGTTCCAGTTCGACGGAGCAGCTCTTTCCAAGGGAGGCCCATCATCTGCCAAAAGCCCCTGAGGGATGGCGAGTCTGGATGATGCCCGTTTCTGGGAAAGTGCTGCTGATCAGCTGAGGCCATGCTGGTTAGGGGTCTTATGGCAGTCTCCAGGCGGTCTCCTGAGTGTGTGGAGGGATCCCCCCCCCCCCGATGTGACTTACCTGGACAGGTCCGCCCTGGTCTTGTGGAACGGGAGGCTCCTCCATGACTCACGCGGGGTTTCGGTGCGGCAGTGTGCCCTCCTCAGGGCACGAGCCCAGCTTAAAGGCTCCATAACGGGTGCCCGCCGTGCTTGAAGGCCTTCAGTTGAGTCCGTCATCTGCTTGGTAGCTCTTACTCATGTGCGACTGAAAAATGCCTTTTTGTATGAAGGAGGTGATCCTGTGCATCTCTAGAAAGATAAAATCCCTCCAACTCCCAGCATTCTCCAGCCAGCCATGCTTGTAGGGGCATGGTTGGCATGGAAGCCCTTTCTCCTCTCTAAGCATGCAGAGGATTGGATCTACAAGCATGTTCTTTGTGGCGGTGGATCCTTGGATGATGGGGACGGAGTGGAGCAGCCTTGGGCTCGGAAAGCATGTCCCATCCTTCCCCTTCCCTGGTGTTCTTTTCTCAGGCCTAAGCAGAGTCCATTGGCTTTTGTCTTTTCCTGCTTTTAACATTAAATTCCTGTCCCTGCTTTGCCAAAGCTGAACAGTGCATGCTATCAGGCTTACAGATATCATGGTAGACATATTTGCTTGGATTTGTAAAGCCCTCACCCAGCCCTTCTGAGCAAACTTAGCAGTCACAGAATGAGAGTCCTGTTGTGGGCAAATAACGGGTGAAGGAGTGGAAAACAGAAAGCAGGGATAGATGGTAGTTCTTCCAGTGGAGGAAGGGAATGGTGGGGTCTCCCGGGGTCTGCACTGGAATCAGGGCCGCTCTTCTTAATCAGGAGTGACGTGGAGTTCGGAGCAAGCAGTGTTTCCAGAGGGCACCATAGCATGGAGGGTAGCTAAACCCAAAAAGGATTTCCCCATTCTGGGAGACTGGGCATCGAAAGGGCCAATGCAGGTCAGAGGAAGTACATCTGAAGTGCTTCACCCAAGCACTGGCAGGCCTGAACTGATGCGCCTGACCAAGGCGGGCCCTGGGATCACAGAGGACAGACTGGTGAAAACAGGATCCATTTGTGCAGCTGCTGTGAAAAACACGTTTCCTGTTAGGGATCGTTAGGAACGGGGCTGAACATAAAATTGCCAATATCATAGTGAGTTTATCCATATCTATATTGCAGCCATACCTGGAGCACCATGTGCAGTTTGCTCCCTGCACCTCACAAAGGCTATTGCAGAGCTGGAAAACATGCAGAAAATCACGACCAGACTGATCAAGGCCAGAACAGGTCCCATCGGAGGGACATCGCAATGTTTAGGGCTTTTTAGCTTAGCAAAAAAGGTGAATAAGGGTAGGTGTGGTTAGGGTTAGAGGTGCGCATATTTCTACATAGTGTGGAAATGGAGATGTTTACTAAACGCAACAAGATCATTTCATGAAGCTGAGTGGTGGGAGAGTAAGGACAGACGGGGGGGGGCGACTTTTTCACATAGTCCATGGTTATGTTATGGAGCCCACTTCCGTGAAATGTAGCGATGGCCACCAATTTGCAGGGCTTTAAAGGGATATGAGCATTTCTCTCAAGTCACTGCTGCATATAAAATAGGCAACAAAGTTCTGCCTCAGTGGCTGGGCTTGGCGTGGTTTGTGCCTGTGTTTGTGGCAGCACTGGCGATGCTGAGCGCTGCTCAAGACCTCCGAGGCTGCCTATTCTTTCGGGAACATTCCTGAAAAGGCGGCAGTGGGCGAGGTGTGTGCTTGGAGCTCCAGGGAAGGCTGGGCTGCGGCTCCCTCAAGCTTCCTCTGCCTGCTGTGCTGTGGTGATGCCCAGGTTTCTCTCGTGCTGGCAGTGTGCACGTAGGAGGGCATCTTAGATGGGTTCAGTGACTGAACCCTCTGACCTGCCACCCGCAGCCACTCTGACTGGCTCTGCAGGCCTCCAGCAGGCTAACGATGCCCAGCAGTGACTGGATAGATGATGCTGATGATGTTACATTTCTGTGCCACCACTCAGCCACAAAAGGCCCTCAGGGTGATGTATATATGCGAGTGGGCAAGTTTGAACCAGCATCTTTGGCAGCTGAGGTTCCAGCAGGGTCCAGGACACAGACGTGCTGGACTGTCCCTGGGGCTCATTGCTGGGCTGGATGAGGGCCACCAAAGCAGCGGAATCTCGTCAAGATGATTGGCGCCTCCAGGGCCCTGGGAGCTGGTGCTCAGCCTCTTCTCGAGGGCTTGCACTCCTGAAGGGACAGGCATGCAGCTTGGGGTGCTTCAGGACCCAACACTGCCAGGTGAGAAAAGACGCCTTCAGTGCCAACTCCAAGAGGTGCCAACTCACCAGCATAGTGAACGAGGACGTGATTGGTAAGAAAAAGGCTTCTTTCAAGAAGTGGAAATCATGCCCAAATCAGGAAAACGGGGAGCATGAACTAGCACAATAGAGATGCAAATAGTTAATAATAGAAGCAAAGAAGAATTTTGAAGAGCACAGTGCTAACAACATCAAAAACAATCATAATTGTTTAAAAATATCAGGAGAAAGGAACCAGCTTGAGAGGCAGTTGGACCTTTCGATGGTAATGGAATTAGAGGAGG